TTGAATTTTCAGGTGCTTTTCTAAATCTGGAAGATACTCAGGTTAGCATTATTTAATTAAGACCTTTTAATAGCACCTAGACAGGATCTCTGCAGGACCACCATTGTCTGTTCTAGGCATGTGCTAGTTGGTCTTGGGATTCAGCACCTGTATCAGAGATACAGTATCTAAGGAGATACAGTCAGTAAGGTTCAATGCAACTCAAAAAGATGCTGTTTGTATCAATTGTTCCTTAAAAGGGCATTGTTGGATACAGCTGTGTGGCTAGGAAGCCCTTTAGGTCTCTGCTCTGCAACCATTCTCAGTGAATTGTTCCACCTCCCCACCCCTTGAGCAAAGGGAAGTTGAGAGTGGCAAGGTGCAGTGATTTCAGGCCTATTCTGTGTTGGGCTTTCCAGATCTGACACTCTGGGACAGTTCTGCAGCCACCATATTTCCGCTCCATTAGCCACACCTGGCCACAAAAAGAGCCATAGCTGAGCTCATTACTAATTTGATTTTTTCATATTCTGATCTAGAATGTGCTATCTTGAGTTGTAGGGTCTTAACATCCATCACACAAACATTCTAATCTCAGGAGAAATGTGCACAGCGTATTCTGGGGAGATATTGCCCACCTCAATCCTATTATACCACGCTCCATATCCATCTCTAGGTGGTATTGACCTGGTATCCCTAGGGACTGCTAGGAACCAAGGCAGCCTGGCCACAACTTGTATTAGAGCCCCAGTATTCTACAATCCATTGTTCTCTTGAATCATCTAGGATAGTTCTCATCCGTAGGCAGCTTTGGCCGTCTGTTAGGGGCACTGTTAGAGTAGTTTTCACCCTAGTAGATCACTTTATAGCTGTGGGAACAATGGGACTCACCTGCCCTTCTTTCATTCCTTTGGTAAGTTGTTTAGGCCTGAAGCCTTCCAAAACCTCACTAGTACGCATTTGGCTGTCCTCTAGTCTTTTTAACCTCCTAGAAATTCAAGACACAAATCTACACATATGCTTTCATCCACAATAATACTCTCTGTTGTTATTTTCTTCCCCTCTTAATTGCTTTGAATCTTATTTGCATGCCTATCTAAGTCATACATATTTGCCTTTGCCTCTGCTACATCTTAAAGATACTGACCCACAATCAGGTTCAGCAAAGCTACAACAGCCCTACACCAGTACTGAGTCTGCTGGATTGACTCAGTGAGGAAAGAAGACTGAATGAATGACCTGAGCCATCTCACTGGTCTAGTAGACAAAACTTTATTAGCCATCGAGAAGAGATTTTTAAAAAAATATTTGATATTTTCTCCAAACTATATAGTTTTAATCTTTAAAGTCATTAATGCATAAATACATCTTTAGAACAAGCTGTGAGTTTTAGTTCAAAATTTAATATAAATTTAGAATGTAAACATTTTCTCTTCAAATTCATTTTTAGTTTCACAGTATTGGGAACAAACTCAGGGTATTGCACATGCTAAGCAAACTCTATACTACTGAGTTATATCACCAGTCTTATTTTTGGTGTTTTGTTTTTGTTTTGAGATAGGTTTTCTCTGAAGTCTTTCATTGAATTATCCTTCCTAGTACTGGGATTACACGTATGGGTTACCAAGGCCAGCTTCTTGCCAAAAATATTCCTATTTTATATTAAAGTTATTACTTTACTTAAAAAGCACAGCATATTCCATTTAAGAACCACCTTTGTGTCAGGAACATGGAGTAATAGGGAAGTCAGATGACACCATTGGGCGTTGATTCTCATCTTCCACCTTGTTTGAGATTGAGTCTTTCTTATTGGTCACTGCTGCTGACCATAAATTTCCAGGGATTGTCCTGTCTCCATGTCTTCCATGGGATCATGATTGGAATATAGATGTTGATACGACTGCATTCAGCTTTTGCCAGGATTCTGGGGATTTGAACTCAAATTGTTAGATTTGTGTGTTAAGTACTTAACCCGCTGAGCCATCTTCTCAGTCCCATTTTTTCCTCTTGAAATAATTTGCTTTTAGTGCTTTTAAATGCAGGCCTACTTCTATTGCCTATTTTTTGAGCTCCTATTCCTTATTAATTCAAGTTATACCATTGCATCTAGAGTATATTAAGTAACTTTAATGTTCAGGTATGTTCAGTTCAGTGAACATACCTGTCTGTGGATATTATTTTAAAAGTTAAGAATATTTCTAATACAAAATGATGTAAATGAAGCTGAGCGGTGGTGGCACACATTTTTAATCCCAGCACTCGGGAGGCAGAGGCAGGTGGACCTCTGTAAACTCGGGGCCAGGCTGGTCTACAAGAGCTCGTTCCAGGACAAGGTCCAAAGTTGCAGAGAAACCCGGTCTCAAAAACCTAAACAAATGAAATGGTGTAAATGTTCAAATATATGAATCAGAGAAAAGAGTAAAGGTTACTGTATTTCTCCTCCATAGAATTAAGTGCCAGTCTTCATTATATATTTTGTCATTAAGTGCATCATTTTCCCTCTTCTTTTAAAGTTGTTGGTGATTGTCCTAGTTAGGGTTTGTATTTCTGTGAAAGAGACACCATGACCACGGTAACTCTTATAAAGAAAAACATTTAATTGGTGCTGGCTTACAGTTTCAGAGGTTTAATCCATTATCGTCATGGTGTGGAGCATAGCGGTTTGCACCAGACATGGTGCTGTAGAAGGATCTGAGAGTTCTACATCTTGATCTGAAGGCAACAGGAAATGAACTGTCAATGGGCATGGCTTGAGCTTCAAAGCCTATCTCTACAGTGACACACTTCCTCCAACAAGGTCATACCTCCTAATAGTGCCATTCCCTATAGGCCAAATATTTAAACACATGAATCTAAAGGGACCATGTATGTTCAAACCAACACGGTGATAGCTTGAAGTTCTGTAATTTTTTTTAGTGCATATTATTTAAGAATACCATTCTTTCTTTTCCCTATTATTACTTGTGTTTCTTATTTTTCTGCTTGATAGAATTTTGAATAGTGCCAAGTAACAGATATGTGGCATTCTGATTTTAATAAGATTGTTCTCCATGTTTTAATAATGTTGACTTATATGTTTTTTTTTGAGCTGAAGAGGTGGCTCACTAAATGCTTACATTAAATGTGCAAGGACTTGAGTGTGGTCCCTAAAACTTATGTGACAATGCTGGTTATTAGCCATTCTAACCTAATTGGTGAACTGACTAATGAGAGACCCTGTGTCCAAGGATGCTGTTACTGAAGATGACATCTGAAATTGTCTTCCAGTCTCTACATGTATCCTCCCACATATGAACACACATACACACATGCACACACACAGTACACCTATATATGTGTAAAATAGAATAAGATATGCTTCTTTCTAATGTTTCAGAGAATTGTTAAATGGTATGGCATATAGACGTGATAGAGCACTTGCCTACCATGTGTAAGGCCTCAGGTTCCCTGTTGAGTACCAAAAAGACAGATCATCCCCCAAAACAAGAAACCCAGAATAAATATATATGTAACTGTAAGCAAGTATTGTTTTGTTTTGATTTGAGTTTTAAGATTTTTCAAGTTATTATTGTGTGGAATTTTATGCTACTTTATATCTTTAGATAAAATTTTAATATGCTGCATAATTGTTGATATATTATTCTAACAGATATTATAACATTAAAATATCTGTGAGATAAATCCTGTTTTACCATGGATGATGATGTTTGATATTATTAGATGGAATGATTTAGGTTCTTAGAGTCAGAGCAAATTGAATTTATAATTTTTGCTCTTTAACTGAATGATTCTGGTAAAATTACCTGACTATTAAAAGTTTATTCCTTTTGTTTGTAGTTAGTGATTTTTCCATATTAAATAAAGTTATCTTGATTTTTTTTTTCCTTTTTGTGCCACCCTTTCAACATGATAATCTGATATCTAGTGAAAATCCAGAATCTTGTTCATGACCGTTTGGAAACCTTTTCTCATGGTCATTTCTACTTCTGACCCTGTGCTTTTGTTCCAACTCTGTTGCTTCTGTTTCTCCTCTCTGACCCAGACATAATTAATATTCAGTACCATTTTCATGTCCACAAGAAAAACCTTCATGGGGTATCTTGCTGGGTTTGTTGGTCCATACCTCTAATTCTAGCACTTGGGAGGCTAAGACAAAGCCAGCCTGGCTACATAGTAAGACTGGTCTCAAAAAATAAAACAGGGCCTAGGTTATTGGATAGAGATGCTTTTCACAAAGCCTGACAACTGAAATTCAGTCCTCAAGTTCCATGTAGGAGGAGAGATTGATTTCTACAGGCTGTTTTGGTCTCCATATCTGCATTGTGGCATGCACCACCACCCGTAATAAACAAACGGATGGATGGATGGATGGATGGATGGAGTTCAAAACCCCAAAACAACACCACCAAAAAAAAAAAAAAAAAAATCAAATACCAAAAACCTCTGCAGGGAGGATTTATGAGTTTGGTAGACTTTCAGAAGATTAATATAGCAGTATGAAGCAATAGGCACTCGGAAAAATATTTAGTGCACTTGTCCTTTTTTATTTGAAGCAAGATCTTAAAGCTCTTACTTAGCTCAGACTGGTCTTGACCATGTGATTCTTCTACCTCCTAGTACTGAGATTACAAACATGTGTGTCCTTCACTCTTGCTCCTTAACTCATGTTAATATGTATAGAAGATAAATCAGTTTATCTGTGGCATGTGGTTGACATTCTAGCTCTTAAAATTCATGTTTCAGTGATTCCTTTATATTACTAAATTTGATAGAATGATTTAAATCTGAAGTTTGGGCCAGCAAGATAGTTTAGCATATGAAAATGCCTATTCTTCAAACCTAATGACTAAGTTTCATTTCCAGATCACACAGTGGAAGGAGAGAACTGACTCCAGAAAGTTGTCCTCTGATCTTTGTACTTACGTGCAAAAACGTGCATACACACAATATAAATATAAATAAATTTTAAAATAAAGTTTATCTTTATGTGTTAAAAAGATTAGTTTTTACTTATTTTGCAGAGAGTTAATTATTAAAGCCAACATGGCCACAGGAGGAGGTCCTTTTGAAGAAGTCATGCATGATCAGGACTTACCAAATTGGAGCAATGAGAGTGTGGATGACCGACTCAACAATATGGTATGACATCTTACTGAAGATGGTATATTGCTGACTACTAATGTTAGATTTTTCCCATCAGTTGTATTCACCGAAACTACAAAAACTGCAGGCAAATATACGAAGGGACTCTGTGCTGCTTATTATTGGTTGAAGTCACTTTAGTTTTCGTTCATAGAAAGCATGAGTTGGCTTAAACGAAAACTAGCCATTCATTATAAAGAGGTAAAGTGCTTTGTGAAGCCAAGTTGAAGGGGTGTAGTTCAGTTTTAGGAAATGGAAAAGACTGCAAGTTGTCAAATATCGCTTTTCACTATTCTGCCTGTCTTCTCAGAACCCCTGCCTAACCTAGCTTTCCCTTCCAGATCTGCCTTTTCTCTTTCTCTGGTTTTGTTAAATACTGAGGCTGCCTTTTTGAAGGTTTTCAGTCATGGAAGAAATTATATCCTGACCAATTTAAAGTTATGATACAAATTTCTTTTTTATTCATCTGGGCCTGAAAGGATGGGCTAACTAGTATAAAAGGTTCACAGGAACACCCATACATGGAATGGGATGGAGAAACAGTTCTTAGAGAGGCAAAATTTCTTATACATGAGGACAGTTTACTGAATGGTTTTATAGTGGTAACTAAGAGTCTTCCAATGTGGAAAGATAATGTAGGAATGTATAGTTGTTCCTATTGAATGAATTAGGTTACGTTGATATGAGTAAAGGTATTTTCTAGTTAAAATAACATTTCATTCTGTATTGGATAATATGTAATAGATCTTTTGCCCATAAAATACTAATGAGAACAATAATAGTTATATTAATGCTTATCAAATACTAGGCATTGTTCTAAATACTCAAGATAATATTTTTAATCTTATTTTTAAGGTAGCTTATTTTAAAGATTAAGAAACTGAAACCATGTATATATATCTTCTTTTTGTTATACAAACGGATTGTAATCTAAAGGAGGATACAATAAAGATGTATTTATTTCACTACTTTAGAAAAAACATTTTTTTACCTTTTTGAGACAAAGTTTCACTACATAGCTGAAGCTGATTTTTAATTCTTTTGAACTTCTTGTATCAGCTTCCTGAGGGTTGAGATGATAGATATGTATCATAACAGATGGCTAGAAAGAATAGGTTTTAGAATTGCTTTTGAATATCTCTGTAGTCTTATAGAACTTGACAGACTGAAGTAGGAGAATCAGGATTTCAAGGCTGACCTGGATTATATGGTGAGTTCAAGGTCATTTTGAACTAGGAGAAGACTTTTTCTCAAACAAAAAAGAAACGATTGAAAATACTTAAATTGATTTGCGGGTTGGGATTTGGAGTTTAATATTTGTTATCTATAATAGGTGGTAATAAACTTTTTAAAGGCTAAGCTGTAATATTAGAATAGATATAATAATGAGAAAATGGGTTGACAGAAATAAACCTCTAAAGAGAGTATTTGTATGTGAAAAATGTCTTAGTGTTTTAATATCCAGATCAAAGTTGTTTTGGTTTTTTGAGCATACCAAATTATTTTCTTGGTTTGATATAGGTCAGATTAACTTTTGATTTTACTTTTTTAAAGGAGTGGGGTGGCCAACAGAAGAAAGCCAATAGATCATCAGAAAAGAATAAGAAAAAGTTTGGTGTAGCAAGTGATAAGAGGGTAACTAATGATATTTCTCCGGAGTCATCACCAGGAGTTGGAAGGCGAAGAACAAAGATTCCACATACGTTTCCACATAGTAGATATATGACTCAGATGTCTGTTCCAGAGCAGGCAGAACTAGAGAAACTTAAACAGCGGATAAACTTCAGTGATTTAGATCAGGTTTGTGAATTCTTTTCAAAATAAGTTGTAACCATGGGAAATACTTGAAATGGAATAAGTAGTATGTTTTAAGAATAAATGATTGGTAAAATTAAAAGTTTCTGTATGTGTGGAGAGAGTTTTAAATACTGATGATAGTACTGTCTTTGGATAGGAGCAAAGTTGTATTTTTACATTTGCCAAAAGTCTTTCTGGGCTATTACTATTCTAATAGCTAGCTTAAGATACTTCATTATCAGAGTAGATGTTGCTGACAGGATATTGCTACTAAGTTTAGTACATTTATTGGATAACTGTGAATGTGCTTGGTTATCTAAAGTTTAGAATAAAACTGACTTATAATCACCAAAATAAAATAAAGTTTAGATCTAAAGGCAAGTAGAATTGATAATAAACTCTTGGCTGGCATTTTTACCGGTATTTTATTGTCATATCTGAATTTTGCAGAGGCTTCCAAACATGCAGAAAAGTAGGTTCAAATCTAATATGGCAGTGATGGTGTAAATGACCAGGTATTATGTAAATGTGCTACATGCACATTGCTAGATAGAAAACTGATTGTGTGTGTGTGTTGTTGTTGGGGACTAAACTCATGGCCTAAAATATACTTTAGAAACAATCTACCTCAGCTGCATTGGTAGTGGTAAACTGAATGCTTTTTCAAGTAGTGTTTCATGTAGACAAATCATTATGCTTATAATCTATTAATTCATTGTGTTTATAGCCTATTAATTAATACTGATTTATTGGAGTCAACACCTACAAAAATTTTTAAGCAATATGAATTATAACGCAGCCCACATTACTAATGAGACTAGCCTTGTTTGTATTTATCACTTGAATTATCTCAAAAAATGAGAATAAGAGAGCAATCAAATTTTGATAATTTAATAGGATTTTGTAGATCTGAAGCTTTTTCAAAACTTTTTTTTTTATAAAACCTTGCCTAGTGTTGTAACTAAGAATGTTGAAATCTTTTAAAATTGTTGAAAGATTACTGTTTGTTTGATTTGGTTTCCTTTTTGTGTATAGAGAAGTATTGGAAGTGATTCTCAAGGTAGAGCAACAGCGGCTAACAACAAACGTCAGCTTAGTGAAAACCGAAAGCCCTTCAACTTTTTACCTATGCAGATTAATACTAACAAGAGCAAGGATGCTACTCCAAGTCTTCCAAAGAGAGAAGCGACTGCATCAGCACAATGCAAAGAGCTGTTTGCTTCTGCTTTAAGTAATGACCTTTTGCAAAACTGTCAAGTCTCTGAAGAAGATGGGCGAGGAGAACCTGCAATGGAGAGCAGCCAGGTAGTAAAATGGGATTATTTGGGTGGTGGTTTTGCAGATCTCAAAGTATAAACCTTAAGATGTTGAAGAAGTATTAGGTTATGTATATAGGAATTTCAGTTAAATAGAATTAGTTTTTCCCCTAGCCCTCTTCAATAATGTTCCATATATTTTATTTATTTTTTTTATTAAATTTATTTATTTTTTTATTAAAGATTTCTGTCTCTTCCCCACCACCACCTCCCCTTTCCTTCCCCCAATCAAGTCCCCCTCCCTCGTCAGCCCAAAGAGCAATCAGGGTTCCCTGCCCTGTGGGAAGTCCAAGGACCACCCACCTCCATCCAGGTCTAGTAAGGTGAGCATCCAAACTGCCTAGGCTCCCACAAAGCCAATACGTGCAGTAGGATCAAAAATCCATTGCCATTGTTCTTGAGTTCTCAGTAGTCCTCATTGTCCGCTATGTTCAGTGAGACCGGTTTTAACCCAGGCTTTTTCAGACCCAGGCCAGCTGGCCTTGGTGAGTTCCCGATAGAACATCCTCATTGTCTCAGTGTGTGGGTGCACCCCTCGCGGTCCTGAGTTCCTTGCTCGTGCTCTCTCTCCTTCTGCTCCTGATTTGGACCTTGAGATTTCAGTCCGGTGCTCCAATGTGGGTCTCTGTCTCTGTCTCTGTCTCCTTTCATCGCCTGATGAAGGTTAATATTCAGGAGGATGTTCCATATATTTTAAATAGAATAATATTTTACTTTTTAGATGAATATGTAATTGGGAAATTACATATTCATGTTCATTAAAGCTCTGATTTTCAAACACTAAATTGCTAATTTTAATAAAGCAGGGTTAGAAACAGTATGATTTTTGTTTTGTTTTTTAAAGAACTTTATTCAAATGTGGCTATTGGAGCTGGGCAGTTTGTGGTGCACGTCTTTAATCCCAGCTCTCGGGAGGCAGAGGCAAGCAGATCTCTGTGAGTTCAAAGCCAGCCTGATCTATGAGCTTTAGTTCCAGGACAGTCTCCAAAGCTACAAGAAACCTTGTCTTGAAAAACCAAAAAAATAAAAATTAAAAAAACAAAACAAAACAAACATGGCTTTTAGAGCTGGAGAGACACTCAGTGGTGAAGGACTCACATTTCTCTTATGAAAGACCCAACTTTGGTTCCCAGCATACACTTTGGACACATTAAATCACAACCCCTGAAACTCTGACTCCAGGAAGATCAGATATATCTGGTTTTCACAGACTCCTTTACTCAAATGCACCTGCCTTTGTACACATACACAATTAAAAATAAAGTAAATCATGAAAAAAGAATAAAACAATGCTGATATTTTTGGAAAATATTTTCAAAAGTGTCCTTTTAAGTTTCTATGATACTACCAATTATTTATAAAGAAATATAACGATTAAACGGAATATTTAGGGACAGTGAGATGGCTCAGAGGGTAAAAGTGCTTACTGCATAAACTTTTTGTGATAACCTGATTGTGATTAACCTGGAACCCATGTAGAGATGCAAGGAGAGAACCAGTACCACAGACTCATCTTCTGATCTCCACATGTGCCTTTGTTGTATGTGTGCAGACATGCAAGCATGCTCCCACCCCCATGTGAAATATGTACATAATTTCTCAGCAATTTGTTTCATAAATAAAATTTCGGGTTCTGGAGAGATGGCTTAGTGGAACAACCTGCACTGCTTGGGGCCTGGTATCCTGACTAGGGGTGGTAAGGGAGTGAAGAAAATAGAGTCAGGTGGGGCTCTGATTGGGGCCTAGAACCCTGACTGGGGGTAGTAAAAGAATGAAGGAAGGACAGACACATGGACAGGATAGCAGGATGAGTGGGGTTCTGCTAATCCGAATTTCAGTCTGAGTGTGTTTATTAGGTACAGCACATGGTTAAGCTTTGTTAACCAGTCTTGATAGGCGGCCTCTATAAGTGAGTGGGCTCAGGCTGTAACTCTCTGGGAAAAAGAAGCCACAGTTGCTAGTCCTTGTACACACTAATTAGTTGACCATAAACACTCATACGTTGGGTTCCTGGGGAAAGCTTTACCACTGCCTTTGCCAGTATTTCATGGGTATGAGATCTTGGAGTCCTATGCATGGCTGTGCCTTTTTGATCTGTACATATTGACTCACAACTTCACTAACTTAGGGCTTCCTCTGCTGTCTACATTCTGCAAGTCTAAAGATCCAATACCTTGAACCCACATAAAATAGAACACCAACTCCATGGGAGTTGTCCTTGGCCTCCACATGCACCATGGCACTCAACTACACAGATACAAAAAAGCAAACAGAATTATCTCTACAACAATAATAAAAGTTTATAATAGATCCAATTTTCAGATAATATAAACTAAAATAATTTTGAAATTTTAAATTGATGATTGAAGTTTGTTTTAATCTTTAAAATCTAAGCTTGATTCAGATTTTCTTGCATACATAAATATGTGTGGCAGACCTAGATATATCCTTGATTTACCTTCATTTGAAATAAAAATGTATAATACTATTGCTGTGAAGTTAATTATGATCGGCTTTATATGTTGTATACTGACATTCTTAATTTTCTTTTTAATATTTTCCCTGCAGATCGTGAGCAGACTTGTTCAAATTCGTGACTATATTACAAAAGCTAGTTCTATGAGAGAAGATCTTGTGGAGAAAAATGAAAGATCTGCTAATGTTGAGCGCCTTACTCATCTAATAGAACACCTTAAAGAACAAGAAAAGTCATATATGAAATTTCTCCAGAAAATCCTTGTAAGTTTTTGACTTTTTAAGTGATATATGTTGTTCTTTTTTAGAATGTACCATGTACATATATTGACGATATTCTGATGCCACTCCAGAGGAGTTAACATATTTTCAAAAATCGTGCCATCCATTATAACATTTTTATTGCCCTTTTTAATAGTTTTATGATTTATACCACTAAAATATTTCAGGCTAGAGAAAATGAGGAGGAGGATGTTCGGACTATAGACTCAGCTGTGGGATCTGGTTCTGTAGCTGAGAGCACATCGCTAAACATAGATGTGCAGTCTGAAGCTTCAGATACCACGGTAAGCGGCTTTTTGGTAATAAAGTTCTGGAAATGAAGATTTAAGGCTTTCCTCCATTTTTCAAGATGACAGCTTTTGGCATTCTTTAATAAAAAGTATATTCCAGGAAAGAAACCCTCAAATTGTTAGTGGTATATTTAGTTGCTAAGCATGGAAGTTTGAAAGCTTTATTGGTAACATTAAAAGTAGTTTTAAAAGTTTGAATTGGAAACCTAGTTAATTCTGACTGTCATTGTACAGAAATGTCTGTAGTTGGTTTTGCTCAGCACAGCTTTCCTAATTTTAAGCAGCATTGACAAAGTTAGAATTCCTTGCAGGTTTGAGAGCCTCAGATACTCAGGATTACTAAGCATGTTAAGCTGGAGAAGTTTCCACATTGATTTGCTGGTGAGGACTCATCTCAAATGTGCTAAGATTTTTCTTTTTTCTTTGACATCCTGTATAGTATTATAGCAAAGCTACATGTATAAAAAGTTGAAATAAAACCTAATAAGACAGAATAATATTGACATTATTTACTCTTAGAGAAGAAAAAGTATTGTGGTTTCTGATTATAAAGTTAATAAAAACATTTGTTCCCTTGGAAAAATAGTAATTTAAAGAAAAGGTTGTAAGATAGATTAGTTCATAAAATGTAGTAAATTTCAAAACTGCTTTGCTTTTAAGCATTTTATTTAACAGATGGTCTGAAGTGCATGTGATAACCCTGCGCTATGGAAACAGCACTATAATTATGGACTGGTAACTGTTAAACACCTAGTGCTAGTAAGCCTTTGCTTTTGAAAGGATGAGCATCTGTATCTTTGATTTGTAATGTATTTCAAAATACCATTCAGCATTAGGGATTTGAGGGTTTGTTTCCTTTTATTACTTCTCAACAAAATTTACCTGCTTCTTTTCTCCTCCCTATCTTTCCTGTTTAAACTTTTTTAAGATAGCAAATTTGAACTTTTTTCTTTGTATTAAGGAAATAATCAGGGGGCTTGGTCCAAACAGTTTTTGAAAAATGGATTCTGTTGTGGGAAATTGTTTTCTGTTCATAGTGATGCGAAAAATTTCTCCCTTACATACCAGCAGAAGCAGAAGGGTTGCGGGGTCAGCTGGTTAAAGGATTTTAACAGCGAAGTATGAGAAATGGTATAATTGATTGTAATTTACATTCTCAAATCCAAAGTGTTAACTGTGATGAGAATTTCCTTCATAATTGTGTAAAGTTATGACCTTTTGTAAATTGTTATATATCAGAATAAATGTTGAAATACGCTTTAGCAGTTTTGCACACTTGGAACTTGTCATGGATGTAATGCTTGCTTGAATTTAATAAGCAACTGTTTATTTTACAGAAACTTAAAAGTATAATTAAACTTATTGCCTCTTGGGGGTGGGTTTGGGTTAAATTTTTTAAAAAGTGGAATGAGACATTTTTGCATTTATTTACAAGGCTGACTTATATGTTAAACAGGAGTTTGTGTTAAGAAATTAATATGCTACACTATTTAATAAAGGAGGCATCTTTTAGTCTGAGAATTCGGCCCTGCATTGAGGACAAACTAGGGAATTCAGCTTCCCAAGAACAGGTTTCAGACATTGACGTTACTACAAATCCAAAAGGGAAAGGTGGCAGAGCTCCTCAGAATGACAGGGAACTGAAACCTGATAGGAAATATAGCCGAAAACGTGGATTTCCCTCAAAGGTATACTTCACAATGGTAACTTGGGAAGTCTTTAAATGAGCAGTTCTTATTTCTATTTCTTCCTTATTTGCTTTTTTGTTAACTGCTATTACTCTTAACTCTATTAATACCATTAATATCCTGTAATTTGCTTTAGTAAAATGCTATTGCTAAGTGTTTTTATTTCTTTTTTGCTTTATAATATACCTCTGCATGGATAAAATATGGTAACTAACTTTGATTTATAATTATAAAGGATTAGAATCATAATTTCTTTTTTGCTATTGAAGTTTTCATAGTATATAAAACATTCTTAAACCTCGAATGAGGGTTGCTTTTGTTTATAATAGTATTGTTTATAAATTAGAATTATACATTAAATTTTTGTCTTATTATAGTTCATTAGAGAAAAAGAAAATAATATAAGCTTTTAGATTTTCTATCTTTAAAGGAAAAAAAAATGCCTTTTTTGTAGTTTGAGTTGTATTTGTATACTTTTTAAAATCTTTTCTCTTCCTCCCTCTTGTTTAGTTGATTTACTCATTGATATTTTAGTATGTTGCTAGATTTTCTTCTTCAGTGTTTGATTTAAATGTTCTTTTTTTTTTTTTTAGTTTTCCATGATTTGTATAAAGGCATTCAAGATAAGTGATGAAAACTGTTTGTGTAGCTCTTCCAATACATTTGTATAAAATAGCATTTGTAAAAGCGTGTGTGTCCTTTTAGCAAGTGCAAAAGACCATTGTAATAGTTTAGAGTATACAAGAATAAGTTTGTAAGTTTTATTACTAGCTTGTTATCATTAATTTTTATTTTGTTTTGTAGTTTTATAATATATATATTGATGCTTAAATGACAAAATTTAACCGCAAATACTTTGACAGTTTGTGCTATTCTTTAATTATACAAAAGCGTCTTTAATTATACAAAGCATTAAGCTAAAGGTACTCCCTCTGAACAGAAAAGTTCCTGGTTATCTTTTGATTTAATAGTATTGAAAGGGAGAAAATGAATGTGAACTTCAGCAGATATCCATTAAAACCCGTCATCTTATTTTTTACAGTTGATGGGCACTACAGCACATTGGCCAAGTTTCTTTTTCCTCTGCAATGTAACAAAAACCCTCTTTTCTTTCTTTCTCTTTCTTTTCTTTTTTACATTAATCATAAACTGGTTGGTCTAGTAGCTCAGGCTTCTTATTAATTAATTCTTACATCTTACATTAAGCCATTATCTTTGTCTGTGTTAGCTACATGGCTTGGTACCTTTTACTGTGAGGCGGTCACATCTTGCATCCTCTGCGTCTGAAGCCCTTTGTTTCTAAGTCTCGTAAGAAAGTATTCTTACAGATAAGAATTACTGTATCTTAAACTTAAATTCTTCCAATTCAACTATCCTTAATCTTGTTTTTGTTTTAATTTCTATTTTGTGTGTGGATGCCTATGGTAGACCACAACATGCACGTGGAGTTCAAAGGACAACCAGTACTGTTTCCCTTCTACTGTGTGGGTCCTGAAGATTGACTCAGGCCATCAGGCTTACTGCTTAGTGTGACAGGCTCTCTAATCCACTGAGCCATCCTGCCAACCATAGTCTTGATTCTTAAGGTCATTACAATGTAGCTTACTAATACATACTTCAAAAATGATTTTAATTAAAATCTTAAGTCCATCCATCTGACTTGATTTTTCTCTGCTTACAGAATCTGTCACTCTCCACATCCCTCCTGCTTCTTCCTTCCTAAGCAGCCTTTTGAAATGTATTATGTTTGAAGAATAGAGGAAAAGGTTTGAGGTCTTACCTTAGATTCGAAGCTGAAAGTACCCCTAAGAGTTACAGGTTGATAAGAAATAATAGGTATTCTAGTCACATCTATCTACAAAGGCTGGTTCTAATTTTTTGGTGGGTTTTATAGACCTAACATTTTGTATTATGTAACTAAGAGGCTCTTCATGTATACCCATGCTTTGTCAGCGGATGTCGTTGGGTATCAGTCCTCAGGTACTTTCTCACCATATTTTTTTGAGCTGGCATCTCTCACTAGCCTATAACTGGGCCAAGTAGGCTAGTGCAGTTGTCCAATGAGTTCCAAGGGATCTGCCTACCTCCACCTTCCAAGAGCTGGGTTTACATGTGGGAACTACCAGGCTTGGCCTTTTTAAAAAATAAAGGTTCTCAGGATCTAGCTCAAGTTCTTATGCTTATAAGGCAGCAATTCAATTTGTCTTCTCCTCCTCTTTTTTTTTTTTTTTTTTTTTCTCAAGAAAGGGTCTTACTGTATGTAACCTTGGCTAGGGTCCTATGTAGACCACACTGGCCTGAACTTACAGAGGTCTACCTGCCTATGCCTCTTAAGTACTGAGATGTGCTACCTAGCTTCTCAACATTTTTTGTAATTGATTATAAATACCAATCTGAAATGTACATTATATATATATCAATGTTGATAGCAGTCATTAATTTCCACCAAACTCCAGTTTTTCTCTGAGTACCTAACTGGAGGCTATATATGCCTTTTTGTTTGCTTATATTTTTTCTTTTCTAAGTCACAATGTAAAATGTTGTCATAGTTACCCATTCTTATGTACAATAATTCTGGTTCTGCTTGGGAGGAGGTAGATGGAAGAGGCTTTGTGTAGCACTGGTGAAGGATGTCATCCAGAAGGAAACTTCTTGAGCTGTCTGTTTTCCCTGTGGTTTCTCTAGAAATCACGGGTGCCCAGTGAAAGTAGATCAGTGCATTTATTTTTACATAAGAAATCACTGACTCGCCTTAGTAATTTTAGTGGGAAATCATTTTAAAAATCTCAACAAAAATTTGTTAATGTGGCAAATTTAAAACCAAATCTCAGTATATTAAAGGGAATATTTTATGTCAATGGATTAAATAATAGAACTTTGAAATATTTTGATGGTATATTGATGAATACCATTAAAATATACATTTCTTCTATAATTGGGCTTAAATTTTATTATTTGGGAGCTTTATTTACATTTTTGTCTTTGATTAGTTTTGTTCAGTTGTGTTTTAAATTTTGTATATGTATTTTTTTTGTTTGTTTGTTTTCTTTTTAAACACACAAGGGGCCTTATGCCTCCTAAGCAAGAACTTTACCACTAAGTCATGCCACCAGCCCACTTGGTCATTACTTCTTTTTAAAATTCTTTTTTTTTAAAAGATTGATTTATTTTCCATGGTTAAGTGTTTTGCCTATGTATATATGGGCATCCTGAGCATGTCTGCCGCCCACAGAGGTCAAAGTGAGTGTTAGATCCCTTGGAACTGGAGTTAAGATGGTTGTGCGCCTCTGTGTGAGTGCTGGGAATAGAACCTGGGTTCTCTGCAAGAGCTGCAATTGCACGTAACTGCTGAGCCATCTCTCCTGTCCCACTGTTAGTTTCTTCTGCTTCAATTCGTTTTGTTGCATATAGAAAGGACGATAAGTACTTAGTGTGTTGGGGAAGTTGCGAGGTGTTTTAATACTCCAAACTCTACTAAATAGGCATAATTTAAAAGTCAAAAACTAATAAAGATATCTGATAGAAAATAAAGTTTTCTGCTTTCTTATGTACTTAATGTGTTTCAGTTAGGCCTTTTTACATAAGATAATCAACAAATGTACTTAAAAAATCTTCACCTTGGTTGTAAGTTGGTGTCTTCTTTCTCTCTCTCCGACACACACATACATGTTCTCATTTGTTTTGGTTGTATATGTTAAAAATCATTTCTAGTATGGAATAGAAATTTTTGTTACCTAGTGTTTTGTTTTAGAAAAAATTGTTTTGGAGCACTAATTCTCTATAATCTGTAACTGGCTCCCCTATTCTTTTATCTGTAATATGTGCAGCTCTTTTGCCTTCATAGACTTTCAACCTTCTGTTTTGTAAGGTCTTTTTTTTTTTTTTTAAATTTCCTCGTCATAGTTTTTTCACTGTGAAGTTACCTAATTATTAATGTGGGGCATATCAACTTTCTAAGTTTTTAAAACTAGAGTTGTGTATTCAATCAAAATTATTATCTTTGCTGTAGTTTGCCACTGGCAAATGGGACAGGACCATGAATTTCAACAGTCAGGTATAAGTATTATTGAGTATTATTGGTCTTATTTTTCAGGCCAGAGATCATCAACAAGAGCCTTTAGAAGAGACAGAAAATTTGAAGAAACAACATGATTTATTAAAAAGAATGTTACAACAGCAGGAGCAGCTGCGAGCTCTACAGGGACGGCAAGCTGCTCTTCTAGCTTTGCAACATAAAGCAGAGCAAGCTATAGCTGTGATGGATGATTCTGGTATGCAACCGTTTTAGAATATTATTTTTCTAAGAAAGGCTCATTAACTATTGCAAAATGAATGCTGTTATTATATAATCAGATCTCGGTTATTAACTAGTGTAGCAACCTGCAAGCAAGGCTTACTCTGTCCTATGCTTTTCTCTGGTTATACAGAAAAAGTTGCAGGAACAACTCCTGGCTATCATACTGTACCGTGCAGACAGACAGCTCGCTCTCCTTTTCATCAGAGAGTACCTTTAAGAGGTAAAAGAGACAGGCCTGTATGTAGTACTGTTTTTTAACATCAGAATGATAGGACTCTTGATGCTCTTGCTTCCAGTTTGGGGGAGTTCCTGTTTGTTTGTTTGTTTCATTGTTTTAAATCTCCTCATCTAAAATTTCTGTTCTTTATTTGCCTTCCAAGGAAACTTTAAAAAAAAATCTTATGTGAACCAGCTTTGCAATATAAAGCTGGTGGCATAATACCTGGAATACAGCACTCAGAAAGCTGAGGCAGGAGGATCAAAAATCCTTAGGGTCTGGGGTGATGGCTCAGTTGGTAAAGTGTGTGTCTCACAAGCATAAGGACCTCAGTTTAGATCCTCAGTAACCACATAGAAGCCAAGGGCAGTAGTATACATCTATGACCCCAGCACTGGAAGGGAGAGACAGGAGGATCCCTGGGGTCCAGTAGTCTAGCCAGTTGATGAACTTTGGTTTCAGTGAGTAATCTTGTCTCAAAAATAAGATGGAGAGAGGCTAAGAAAGATACCCAGTATCATCAACCTCTGAGGTACATGTGTGTATACAGACCCCTCCCCCAATACATCATAGTGGGACTTTTATCTCATAAAATGAAGTGGGAAGGGCTGCAGTTTTGCATGCTTAAGTCTGCCCTGAGTTCAGTCCTTAGCACCTGGAGAATATAAAAACAGATAAAAAGAAGTCTAATAAGGTAGCAGATTAATAGAGCAACTTTAGTGGTCAGTATTAGTAGTTCTGTTATTTCAATTAGATGCATGTTTTTACATATGAGCTTTTAAAACTGCTATTATACTTAGTTTTTGTGAGACTCAGAAAATGTTCTTTTTTTTCCCTCTTTGCCTCAGAGCTGTGTATCATTTAAGTGACGACTGAATTGCTTAGTATTAAGCTTTTTAATTTTGTAATTTGTCTTATTGTCTTCAAACTTTCATTAGGATAAAAATAAGATTGTTTCTTATTAAAAATAAGGCTTAGGTTTCTTTTTAGCTTTATTTTTAATTGACAAATAACAATTGTATGTATTTTGGGGCACAAAGTGATAGATATAATAATTTCTTCCATTGGCTTAGTTTTCTCATCAATTCTCATAGTTTATTTATCTTTGAGCACTATAATTATGCCATTTTTATTTGCTATTTTGGTGACATAAGTTTCATAAGAGTTACTCATAGGAATGTGAGTGAGGGGTTATCGACAGGATTATGGACACTAACCTTCTCGGCTGTACTCCTGCATCATAGTCTCTGTCCTGCCCACTAACTGCCTGCAAACCTCATGGAGCAGTGGGGCTCCCAGAGTTCCCAATCTCGTTTCTGTAATCTTTTTGAGTACTTGAATTTACACCATTTCATTTGATCATCAGCATTGTAGGCGACTGCTTAAGGCTTTATAGAGAAAATGACAGTTTCTGGCTTGGCTAGGCTCTATACAGAATTTTAGTAGAAATCAATTTAATTCTAGGTTAAAATATGCAAATAATTTTTTTATAAAAATATCCTACCATGAATTGCAATAAAAGACTATAACCAGGAAATTGAATTTGAACTTTATATATTTTATCAACAAAAATTTTAGCTTAATAAATTTAAAACACTTTTGCTACTGTGCTTATGAAGTTTTACTGAAGAAAATGATGAAAGCAAGAGTTAGCATTTCTTATGTGTTCAGAAACACAGCACACCACCTGCCTTTGGGGAGAGTGTGTTTCTTTCTGTCTGGAAAGTTGTAATTTTGGTGTTTTTCACAAGTTTAGACTAGAAAAGGGTTTCTTTCAGTCTTCAATACTAGGAATCTGTTTCTTTTTTTTTTTCCAGCAGAAAATTATTGTATTTTATTTTATTTTATTTTTTTAAAAAACATTTTATAGCTGTGCCTTCTTTTAACGTTGGAAAGACAAGGTCTCACCATGTATCTGTCTGGAAATCATTCTAGACCAGGCTGGCCTCACAGAGATCCACTGTCTCTTTCTCCCGAGTGCTGGGATTAAAGGCATACGCATCACCACCCGGCTGGGTTTTGCTTGTTTTTAATAAGGATGATAAAACCTATGGTTTTCTAGTGTAATTGACATGGCTTTATGGAACACTGCCATTCTTATGTACATATTGCTGATTTTTGCCTTTTAATGGCAGAAATGGATAGGCAACACAAGAACTGTATTCCAGGGAGCCATGATAGTTTTCAGTCTGTCCTTTGTAGAAAAACTTGCCATTTCTGTAATATAGTCTGGTTTTCTTGGAAGAGGTAAAGACCTGTCAGCATTAGCTGTGTTTTTTTCAGGATGCCGATTTGCCCTCTGTACCCTCTATCTAAAAAAACTAATAGAGCCATCCTAGCTGTAATCTAATAAGTCACATTTAGTAATTGGGAATACTAGCCTGCCTTGTTTGTTGAGATTGAAAACACTTTCCTACAATTTAGCAGTTGTCTCTTTATTTCTACGTCAGATGGAAACTTCTAATAAAATAATTGGCTATAAGTAAGATAATTTTCAGATTATGTTAGGTTGAGCTTCCCCTTGTCCAAATTTTATACTTAGCTTGCTGCTTCTGTATGTTGAATATAGTATTTGATTTTGTTTTTAGTTGTTACAGAAACTACAGGAAGCTTATCTGGAGTCAGCATCACATCTGAACTAAATGAAGAACTGAATGATTTGATCCAGCGTTTTCATAATCAACTTCGTGAGTCTCAGGTAATTGGTTTCTTTTTCTTTCTTGCTTGCCCTTTTTTTTTTTTTTTTTTTTTTTTGAGACAGGGTTTCTCTGTAGCTTTGGAGCCTGTCCTGGAACTAGCTCTTGTAGATCATGCTGATCTCAAACTCCCAGAGATCCACCTGCCTCTGCCTCCCGAGTGCTGGGATTAAAGGTGTGTGCCACCACTACCTGGTGGTAATTAGTTTCTATAGTTAAGTTTATAAATAACATTAATTAACCCAATGGGTCTCAAACCTTAGTAAACATGTCACCTGGCTTGATTTTTAAAAAATGGATACACAAAGTCCCTCTACCTTTAAAATTATTATCCTTAAGATTTGAGTGGGTCCCACATGATCCCATTGCTATTACTGAGAGTCTCCTTTGAAAAACCCTAGGTTAGAGGACAGTCTACTGTGTTAAGATTTATTTGTGTATATGTACCTGAATGTATGTATGTATAGCACGTAAGTGCACAGGCCCAAAAAGGGTGTCAGATTCCCTGGAACTGGGGTTACAGGTAGTTGTGAGCTGCTCAATGTACATGCTAGGACAGAACTCAGGACTTCTGCAAGAGCAGCAGGTGCTCTTGACTGATGAACCATGCATCCATACCCAGAAAAGCTATTTTAATGTACTGAGTAGTAAAGTTCTCATTGTGTAGACTGTTAGATAAACATTCTTTTTACCTCTTTGAAGCACTAGGTGGTTATAACCATTAAGACTTAAAGTTAGGACAGTTATAGTAACACACCTTTAATCCCAGCACTGGAAAGGAGAGTCAGGTGAATGTCTGAATTCAAGATCAGCCTAGTTGGTCTACGTAGTGAGTTCTAAGACAACCAGAACTACCTATTGCATCAAGGAAACAACTAAAAACAAGAAAGAGACTTAAAGTTAGTTTTTAAGTCTATGTCCTTGCATTATTTTATCTAAAAGTTTTAAGAAAGTTTTATTTTTTTCAGGAAGAGGTAGAATTTTAGTTTGATTTGGTATTGAAGCAAGACAAGCTGACCTTAAATTTTCTGTCTTTCTGTGCTAACCTCTTAAAGCGTTAGGATAATGGTTTGTGTTCATGTCTATCAAGAACAGTTTTAGAATTAATAAATATTTCAGTTTTATGAATTTGTAAAATAAATAATGATGCCTGTGTGAACTTATAGTGTGGAATTTGGATAAGAATTGGTAAGCCATTGCCTTCACACCGGGAAAAGATGTATGATTGAGCCGGGTGGTGGTAGCGCACGCCTTTAATCCCAGCACTCGGGAGGCAGAGGCAGGTGGATCGCTGTGAGTTCGAGGCCAGCCTGGTCTACAAGAGCTAGTTCTAGGACAGGAACCAAAAACTACGGAGAAACCCTGTCTCAAAAAATCCAAAAAAAAAAAAAGAAATG